AGCGGTACCTATCGCATTGTTGTCAGAGTTTTGGGATTGGCCAGGATGGTTCGGCCGGACATCTTTGGACCATATCTCAACTCTCACAAAATGTTGGTCTACGTAGTGCTTTTGGCAATGATCATTTTTTTGACATTGATGTCATTTGTATCGAGAGGTTTCTTGGGTAGACCTAATGGGGGGCAGGTTATGAACTAGTACCTTATACTGTCATGCTATCGTATAAAGTTGTGTGTCGTGGGTGAGTACTACTTGCCGTCGATGCTACCTTACTGACGAGTAAGTGTGGGCGGGCACTAGGTACCGTCATTGCTACCACACATTTGAGTGCGTCGTGGGCTGGTTTTGGTCACTATTCGTACTGCCACGTTGTGTTTGTTCTGTACCCTGATTTGATACGTAATTATTTTGGAGTCCTTTTTGGTGGATGTGTTTTGGATCCGTTTGATGGTTGTCAGGAGGGATGCTTTCAGTTATTATCTTCCATTCCCTTGTCTGACCTTGGGTTCTGTGTGTGAGTTCTGACTTGTTGTATGGCCGCGTGGTCATTTTCCTTTTGAGAGGTTGTCTTGTCATGAGCACGTGGGCGCAAATGACACTGGGTTGTGGGGTTCCTTTCAACTTTGAGGTCGCTGGTGTAGCGTGTTGTGTGGGATACTCGGAGATGTACTCTGTGGTTTTCCTGGTTTCGCCTTTTGTTGGTTAGGGCTGGATTTCGGGGACGAAATCCTTTTAAGGTGGGAAGATTGTAATGACCCGGCCATTTTCCTTCCTTTCCTTTCTCAGATTTTCATGGATATTTTTTTTCCGTTGATCTTTTCCTTTCTAAGTTCAGTTTCACGTCACTTAGTGTCATCTTGAGTGCTTGGGGATGGTTTCCGAGACTCTTTTCCTTGGATTGACGACTTCCTTTGAGGACCGAGTTATTTTCATATTTTCACTTTTGTGACACTATTCATTTTCCTCTTTTTCTCGGTTGTCACTTTGTTGGCATAACCTCACTTTTTGTGTTCGGATTCGATTCCGGTTTTGCATGCATCCACGATATTTAAATTTCATACTATGTGTATTTTCACTTTTGTAGAAAAGCATGCTAAGTGCTTACTTTTCTTGTAAAGGGTATAGATACATGACTTTTTTGTAATTTTTTAAACTTTAGGGGTTTTGTGTAATTACTGTAAAGTAATTATTTTTCGTCTTAGGGACCATTTTGCAATTTAGTTTGGAAGATATTTTCAAAAAGGATTTTTTTTGCAATTTCTGGAAAGTGTGACAAGTGTCACAATCTCATTGGTCCACTTATTGTGATGTGTGTGGAAACACTTTGAGGCCTTGGATGAGGACATGTGGAGGGTGGAGATTTAACCACTTGTTGGCCTAGGATTGGTGCACTTGTTGGCTTGGATGGTTGACAAGTGTAGGCTTGAGATTTAGCCTAGGATAGAGCCTTGGATTTGTGACAAGTGTAGGCTCACAATTTGATTTTGCATTAGTATGTGTGTGAGAGGTAGTGTAAGAGCACATAGTGAGTGGAGGATCTCTATCCCCTCCACTCACATTTCATCTTCATCATTTTTCATTTCCTTTCTCTTTTGTAAAGAAAACCCTAGCCTCCATGGATGGAGCCTAAAGCCTTAAGCTTTGACTTTGATTTTTGAGAGCCTTCCATTGATTTCCAAGCATGAACTTGGGAATACATTTTGTTCCCCTCATCTTCCTCTTTATAACCCTAGAAGGGTTTGCCATTTTGTGTTGATTTTGCCTTAGATTCTAGAGAGACACTTCTCTAGTGAGGTAAGGAATGTTATAGGGTTATATGTTTATTATCTTCCATGTTTTTGATGTTTATACAACTTGTATGCATGTAGTGTATTAATTTGAGAAATTATGATTAATGGTAGTTTGCTTATAACTCATTGTAGACCTGGTAAATGGCATGGCCATGAGTTGATCTTTGATATATATTAATTTGGGTTGATTTAGATGAGTTTTCAAATCTAGAGATTAAATGGATTTAATTTGGTTTAAATTCTAGTAAATTGTGTTTTGCTTGTAATCCATCTTAGACTAGATATATGGTATGACCATGACTTAGTGCTTGATATAATTAATTTGAGATCATTTGGACAACTTTTGAAATCTAGAGATTTAATTGATTTAAATTAATTAAATTCTATTTGATGATATCTTGCTTATCAACTTTTGATTTGATATATGTAAAGACCATGATATGTTGCTTAACATATATTAATTTGAGGTTATTTGAAATGTAGAGAATTTAATCACCTTGTTTAATTAAATTCTATCTAGTGGCTCCATGGATCTATTGGTATTTTAGAAATTGTTTCTATATTCAAATCATGGACTTGAACTTGTTATGTATTCACTTGATTGTGTTTTGAGCATTGGACAACTTTGTTGTTATATTTATAGTCATGAGAACATGTTTTCTTTATAGAATATATTGATGCCATGTGTAGTGAATTGAACACTTTGTAATTGACATTATGTATGTCATTTTAGAATTGAAACTCTAAGGCATGAATTGTGTGGTTTCAACCTACTTGTGCATGGAAGGTGTTTTCATGCATTATATAAGTTATGTATAAATTGTGAACTTATTTGGTTTAATTTTGTAATCTTGGAACATTGTTGAGTTGAGATGGCTAGGGTTTGGCTCTAGTACGGGGATGTGAGTCCTCTAAGTTATTGAGATAGTGCGCACTTAGGGTGGTCTTCCCTGCGGGTTAGTGCCTAGAATAACAATTGAGGTCTCGGCAGAATTCCAAGCTTAGATGTCCAAGTCTTCCATTATTTGTTTTCGCATTCAATTCCAAGTTAACAATCATGTTTATATTGGAACTTGTGGTTTTAGTTATTGGCAATTTTGATGTTTTTAAGTACATCCATACTAAATTGATATATTTAGTTGATTTCACACTTTTAGATTTCTAGTTGATAATCTAGAGAACCTATGTCTTGATGTGTGGTATTAGATATTCTAATTATGCTAAATTGTTATATTTAGTTGATGTTGCATTTTAGACTTCAAGTTGATTACCTTGAGAATCTATATGTTGTTGCTTTGTGTAAGCATGCTCCTATGTTGTTGCTTTGTGTAAGCATGACCCTATGTTGCTAAAATTGCATGAATGAGGTGATTGATGCTAGAAATGATCCTAGGTAGCTAGGATGTTCATTGAGTCTCACCTTTGACATAGACGTTAGGTGGAATGAACCACAATAATTAAATCATGCAAACTTGTAAAACGTAGGTCGATGCATGCTCATTTCCTACGAGTAGCTTTATGTTACTCACCTCTACGATACTGGGGCATATTTTAGGTACAAGAATCAAGGTTGCGATTCTCGTCATGCTTGGATGATTGGTGGACTTGAAGATTTTCATTTCTTGTAAAGGTTGGCTTGAAAAGCCATTTGTAGCCTTATATGTCAAAAAATGTATATTTGAATTTAAACATGTAATGTGTACATGAGTGCACTCCTTACAATGTATTTTACATGTATAAGATGAGGCCGGAGGCCAATGACATGTATTTGTATTCTATATAGTTTTGACTTTATGAAATATCATGAGAATATTGAAAAAATGCTAAGTTTTGTCTGACTATGTTTGAATCGGGTGTGGGAGTTCCATTTTCATTCTTCCATAGGATCTCACTAATCATGCATGAAGTGCGGCCAAGGGCCAAACGATAATTTCCAACCATTTGCTAATCTTGGTTTTCAAAATTACCATTTCAAATTCATTTTCGCCTTTTTGGCCGTTAGGGTGTCGGATTTTGCATCGGTCATTTTCGGGAGCCGCGGACCATTTTTACACGCTCAAAATCACTTATTACGTTTGCGTGCATATTCGGTTCAGCCTAGAAGTGCATTTGGGGTCAAAAGTTTGTTTGGTGCAAACTTACATTTTTTGCCATTTTGAGCCTAAACTGAGCATAAGGGCATTTTGGGGTTTTTACTTGAAAAATAAAGTTTTTTTTTTGGCATGGTTGGCTAGAAAACATGATTTTGAGGGTAGTTTCTTATTTGTGTTTTTCTCAAAAAGGCCTAGAAAGTCCTCAAAATTGCATTTCAAGTCAGCATTTTAGGAGCAGCCTATAGGAGTTCGAGTGCTCTAAATGGGGAGTTCGAGAACTGGAACTTTGGGCAGATTTCTTAGGGCAATTTTCGAGCGCTCGAAGTCCTTGTTCGAGCACTCGAAGTACTGTTCACGGGTGTGTGTGTCTTGGTTCAACACTGCACCTCCAACTTCAAATGATCATAACTTCTTCGTTTTAACTCCGAATTGGTCCATTCTTGAGTCTAAATTAATCGTGTCGAAATAAGCTTTCCAATGGTACTAATTAGCACTTCAGATTCTTCTTGTGGCTCAAGTTATTCAAGTTTTAGTAAGGTAGTGTCTGTTTTTAGTTCGAACCGGGATAGGGTTTCCCTTCCGTTGACTTCAGAACTTGATATCTTTGCCGTCCGGACTCTGAATCAAGTGCTTCTTGAGTCTATCCTTATTAATTTTTTGTTGTCTTTCCAATGGTGTGCACGGTGGCACCCATTTTAGTGTGGAATGACCATTTTGCCCCTAGGTTCATTCTTATCCATTTTTGAAATGTTGCTTCCGTATTTTCTTCCTTTGGGTTTTGTGACCTCATTGAGGGTCACATTGGTGTCTTAATAGAGTGTTGTATCTGTAGAGACTATTGTTCTATCTTTTGCTTCCACATTTTGGATCCGTTTTGGGTCATCACAAGACACACTGGGTTGAAAAATCTAGGGTAGTCACAATGGTTCACCCATAACCATTAAAAAGCGGGTGGATATTGGCCGGTTGATCGTTCCTGACCCATTTTGCCACCCCTACAATAATCCAAGGTGGTGGGTTGACATTGCTAACTAACGAAACATGAAGGTCTTAGCCTACTTTCTTATTCTCTCTCTTCTGTTCTCTTCATTCTCATCCTTTTCTTTGGCTTTAACTGATGTTGAGGCATCCTATATTATACATAGACAAAGATGAGTCTGGCTATAACATTGATCCTAGCTTAACTTTTGAAAACCCGGGGCTCAAGAGAGCTTATATTGCTCTTCAAGCATGGAAAAAAGCTATGTACTCTGACCCTTTCAATACAACTGGAAATTGGGTTGGCGCGAATGTGCGTGCCTATAATGGTATACTCTGTTCACTGGCACGCGATGATCCTAAATTGAAGGTTGTTTCTGGTGTCCATCTTAACAATGTTGACATAGCTAGGTACTTTTCGATTGAACTCACGCTCTTGATTGATCCCACCACATTCCACATAAACACTAACCGGTTTTGTGGAATCATCCCGGATAGTTTCTTTAAACTGTAACATATGGAAGAGCTTGATATCAATAACAACTGTTTCGTAGGTAAATTTCCAAATGCTGTGCTAAAGTTAAATCACCTTTCTAGCCTTGACATTAGAAACAATAATTTCGAAGGGCCAATTCCAGCAAAACTCTTTAAAAAGAATTTTGATGTTTTGCTCTTGACAAACAATAATTTCAGATCCAAGCCACCAACGTTAACTCCACCAAGCCCTTCACAACAACCATCACCTCCCCCTTAAGAATATAACACTAATTCTCCACCTCCCACATCTAAGCCACCAACATCAGCTCCACCAACCCCTGCCTCCCAAGTATCACCTCGAGCCACACCATCAAATAGTTATACTCCACCTACCACATCGAAGCCACCAACATCAACTCTGTCAACCCTTACATCCCAAACATCACCACCTCCTACACTATATACGAGTTATAATCCACCTCCCGCCATATCAAAGCCACCAACATCAACTCCCCCGACCCCAACATCCCAAGCATCACCTCCTCTACCACCATCAACGAGTTATACTCCACCTTCAACATCTAAGCCACCTACATCAACTCTACCAACTCCTTCATCCTAAGCATCAGCTCCTCTGACACCATCAAAGACTTCTCCACCACCTCCCACATGAAAACCACCAACATCAACTCCGCCAACCCCTTCCTCCCAAGCAACACCTCTTCTGTCACCATTAAAGACTTATACTCCTCCTCCCACTTCTAGTCCACCAAGTCACACACCAAAGCCATCTCCTATCCCGACACCATCTTTAACACTAGTTTCAGTTCCTCCTAAGCCTACCAAAGTTCTTCCAAGCCCAGCTCTAACACAAACACTAGTTGTACTCCACCTACCACATCGAAGCCACCAACATCAACTCTGTTAACCCCTACATCCTAAGCATCACCTCCAGCCACACCATTAAATAGTTATACTCCACCTACCACATCGAAGCCACCAACATCAACTCTGTCAACCCCTACATCCCAAGCATCACCTCTAGCCACACCATCAAATAGTTATACTCCACCTACCACATTGAAGCCACCAACATCAACTCTGTCAACCCCTACATCCCAAGTATCACCACCTCCACACTATATACGAGTTATAATCCACCTCTCGCCATATTAAAGCCACTAACATCAACTCCCCCGACCCAACATCCCAAGCATCACCTCCTTTACCACCATCAACGAGTTATACTCCACCTTCAACATCTAAGCCACCTACATCAACTCTACCAACTCCTTCATCCCAAGCATCAGCTCCTCTGACACCATCAAAGACTTCTCCACCACCTCCCACATGAAAACCACCAACATTAACTCCGCCAACCCCTTCCTCCCAAGTAATACCTCTTCTGTCATCATTAAAGACTTCTACTCCTCCTCCCACTTCTAGTCCACCAAGTCACACACCAAAGCCATCCCTATCCCGACACCATCTTTAACACTAGTTTCAGCTCCTCCTAAGCCTACCAAAGTTCTTCCAAGCCCAGCTCTAACACAAACACTAGTTTCGGCTCCTCCTAAACCTGGCAAGAAATTCCCGGCCCAGCTCCAATAGGACCACAAATTTTGAGTCTTCCTAAACCTGGGAAAGCATCTCCAGGCCAAGCACCGACTCGAACACCAGTTTTGTCTCCTTCTAAACCTAACAAAGCATCTCCAGGCCCATCTCCGACTCAAACACCAGTTTCAAATACTCTTAAACCTGGCAAAGCATCTCCCGGCCCAGCTCCAACTCAAATGCCCATTTCATCTCCCCCTAAACCTGTTAAAGAATCTTCAAGCCCATCTCTGACTTGAACACCAATTCAGCTTCCATAAGAAACTCCTAAGCCATTTCATGTCCCAACTCCAACTTTAACACCAGTTTCTACTTCTCCTGAACAATCACCAGTCCCGGCTTTGACATCGGCTCCCAAACTAAGTTATCCACCTTAAAAACCCCCAAAACCATCCCCAGTCCCAACTCCCGCTAAAACACCAAGTTCTCCCCAGAAACCTTCCAAGCAGTCTCCTATCCCGGCTTCGACTCCAAAACTAAGTTCTCCACCTCAAAAACCTCCTCAGCCATCCCCAGTCCCAACTCCAGCTAAAACACCAAGTTCACCCTAGAAACCTCCTAAGCCATCTCCAGTCCCGACTCCGACTTACACACCAGTTTCAGCACCACCTAATTCATTTCCAGTCCTGACTCCCGCTTGAACACCAGTTTCTCTACCTCAGAAACCTCCTAAGCCATCTCCAGTCCCGGCTTCGACTCATACACCAGTTTTAACACCTCATAAACCATCTCCAGTCCTAACCCCAACTCGAACACCAAATTCTCTACCTCAAAAACCTCCTAAGCTATCTCCAATCCCCGTTTTGACTTAAACACCAGTTTCAGCTCCTCTTAAACCGTCTCTAGTCCTAACTCCAACTCAAATACCAAGTTCACCACAGAAGCCTCCTAAGCTATCTCCAGTCCCAACTTCAGTTTTGACACCAATTTATGCGCCTTCTACCCACCTGTAACTTCTACACCGATTTCAACTCCTTCTAAGCCATCTTATGTCCCACCACCGGTTCAATCACATCCACCAGCACCAACTTCTACAGCAGTTTCAACTCCTTTTAAACCATCTCCGGTCCCACCACCAATTCAATCACATACACTAGCTCCTCCTGAGCCATCTCCTGTCCCACCATCTATGCAATCACATCCACCAACACCAATAGCCGCATGATCTTTAACTCATCCTCTTACTCACGCGGTCTCTTTACCACTACTAGGAAATAAGGACTTCATTCTCCCACCAATTGTGGGCTTACAATACTCTTCCCCACCTCGCTAATGTTCCAAGGCTATTAAATGGTTCACTAGTAACTTTTATTTTTTTTTATTTTTACCATTGATAGGATATTTAAATAGTTTACCAGTAACTTTTTCATTTATGTACTTGTACCTTTGATTTAGACTTCAAATTATATGTAAAAACTTGCTCTTCAACAAGAGCTTTTACATAATTGCTACCATTTTTTTTAACTAATAACTAACATTTTTATTTAGAAGAAATTTAGGGTCTATTTCTGCAAACAATGTGGCTCCACATGAATGTTCTTGCAATAACAACCAAATCTCTTATTAGTATTTTGGATAATTAATTTTGACCAGTTAGTAGGGGTGGCAAAGTTCAACACCACCCGCCAACATGACTCGAACACGACACGAGATAAACAGGTTTGGGTTGATCTTAAATGGGTTTGGGTCATAAACGAGTTGACACGATTAACACATTTACTTAATCGTGTCTTGTTAGGATTGAGGGGTTCAACTCGTATAACCCGTTTATAGATATTTAACTCAACATGTCATAATCGTCAATATGACCTGAGTAATATGTTATATGTTTAGACCCAATTACTATTGACAATTAAGTCATTTTAATATAAATCATGACTATGCCTTATGATTTTTACTTAAACATTTGTATTCTATTTACTTGATTATGGGTTGTTTGATGTTTGTTTTTTTAGTATTTATTGTTTGATGAAGTATTAAATGTTTCATTTCAATAAATAGTTCATTAAATAAGTTAACACGTGTACCTTGTTTAATAAATTGGTCAAGTTAATGTTAAAGGTCTCTGACACGATTATTAAACAGGACGTGTTTGGATTTTGTTTAGTAGAATACCCTTAAGTCGACACGTGATCGGTTGAGAATTCGATCTATAATAAATCAACCTTCGCAATAGCACGAATCATTGTAAAATAGGGTTATTGGTCAGGTCAGTCGAACTATTGGGACTGCGCTAATCTATGGCAACCTTAGTGTCTAGAGTCTTTCATAGAGGATTTGTTTGTTGTCACTTAAGCTATGAAGTTAAGATGCATAAAATAAAAGTTTGCAAGAGTTTAAAGGAGATGAAATACAAGTAAAGAGGACTAGGGAAGTGAATCCGCCTCCATCCCTATACACATGTTAGATTAGAGCTAAATTGGGGAAAAAAACAATATATATTATGGTCATGATACATAACAACACTTAGTTGCTATAATATCCTCAAGAAGTTCATTAAATCTCAAGCAAGTATGATCCATCAAAGGTGAACATGTTTAGACTACCTAACTAAGGTGTAGCTTAACCACATTTACTTGAATGAAAGATTATCAAGCCCTAGATAAAATGATGAAGCATATGAAGGTAAGAAATAAGCATAAACCATTAAAGGCTTCACCTAAGCAATGATCTATCAAAGTTCTCCAGCTCCATGCCATTAAAACTATTCCATGATCTCACTACCATTGTCACCATGAGAGTGCAAGCAATATGATTAAAAGAATAAACCATCTAAGATAGATAATTAACTCAACATTAATCATTTAAATACATGTAGATCCATTACAAGAGGCAAAATGCTCTAGACCATGAAAAGACCAAAGATTATACATTGCAATCCCCAAAATAGAACTATACTAAGACATGCTTACAAGGGAGGGGCTTCATCACCTCCCTAGATGGAGGTTTAGTTACCCATGGGAGCCTTAGAAGAAGGAAGAAACTTGGAAGATCCCTCCATTTTCGAGCTCCCTTGTTGTAGCTTCAAGAACTCAATCTTTTCCTCCTCCTTCTCTCTCTAGAAATCTTGCAAGATGAAATATGATATATGTTATGTGTGGTTCCCCTCACCTTGTAGACATTATCCTACCAAACCCCCACCAAATAAGGCTCAACTCCCACCAAAAGACATCTCTAACCAACCCATAAAGATGGAAATTAGAAATGAGGGAATCAAGGAGTAAGTGGGCTGAAGTGGAGAGCATTCTGCTCAAAGTTCGAGCGCTCTAAGTAAGCACTTCGAGCGCTCAAAGTTTGGGCAGAATGCTCCTTTCTCTTGACCTACTTTGCACTACTTTGGTAAAACAGCCATAACTTTCTGCTCTGAACTCCCAATGATGAACCGTTTGAAGATTTGGAAAGCTAATTCAAATCTCTAAATAT